GGACTTTACGCACCCTCTCCCCTTACAGCTAGCCTGGGCCTTCTCGTCCTGCTGTAACACTGTCCTGAGTAACTGCCTTATTCAGCAGCCCCAGCATAAATACATCGTGAGTTCTACCAGCTGTGGTGAGAGCCAGTTCTAAGCCTGGACCACCACAGCCCAGCATCGTGGTGGCAGGACAAGAGGCGCAGTGTTGCAGAAAGCAACCGGAGCCACTGGACGGGACCAGGCAGACAAAGCTGCAGCTTGATGAAGATGTCCCCCTGTGGAGGCAGGGGTGGTTCAGCAGCTGTATTATTCTTAGGAAAGTCCTGTGGCAGGAATTGGAAAAAGAGTTTCCTCTTTTGCAGCTGGAAATATTATTTTGGTTCAGAATTTGCCTACTGTTGCAAATGTTAATGGTTGATTTCATGGTTTTTTTTTATTGTTGAAATGTGTCTTTGATAGAGGGTCATTTGATGAATATCAATTATATATTACAGGATAAATATGCATTTTTGTCTGAAAATAGGAAATAATGGAATTTATGTGTTATGCAGCAGTCTAAGATACTTAAAATTTAAATTCTGATTGCTAATACATATTCATTATAAGTAAAAAGATTTCACTCGCTCATAAACCACCAATTAGGGACAAATAAGCCATAACCTTTGCTAATATACAGGAACTGTTCTGTCTGTATATTTTTTCCACATATTTAATGATACACATCTTGTTCCTTCAAAATGGAGTTATTCTAGAAGTTTTTTAGTTGCTAACATATTGTCAGCATCTTTCCATTCTAATAAATATAGTTCCGTGTCTTTATTTTAGTAGCTGCATGTATTCTGCATAATGACTAAACTATACTATATTTAACCAAGTTGCCCATTTGAGGATATTTATAACTAATGTTTTTCAAGTTGTAGTTCATGAGTATCAGTAGTTAAAAGATAAATTGAGGGGGTTTTATTATACCTTAAGTCCTAAAACTTTGAAACATGTCTTATTGGGGCTAGAGCTGTGGTGTAGCAGGTTAAGCCTCTGCCTATGGCGCCCGCCACTGGGGAGTCAACCAGAGGATGGAAGACCTCCCTCTCTGCCCCCACCTCCCCTTCACTCTCTGTATCTCTGCCTTTCAAATAAATAAATCTTTTAAAGAAGCATATTTTTTAATATTTGAAAAGTTCTCCTTTAATCATAGTCTTCTGGCTTTTCTAAAAGATACTGGTTGCTCTTATAACTCCAGTCTTTCAGATGGTGCTTCAAACTATTTTATATAGGCCTCCCCCCAGAATACTGTGGAACACTTCACATTACATTTATAAATTAATTTTGGAATTGATATCTTTACAATAATGAATCCTTTTGATAAATAAAGTATGTCAAGGCTGGTGTTGTGGCGCAGGTTAAGCCACTGCCTGTAGTGCTGGTACCCCATATGAGCACTAGTTCAAGTCCCAGCTGCTCCACTTCCAATCCAGCTCCCCACTAATGCACCTGGAAAGCAGCAGAAGATGTCCAAGTGCTTGGGCCCCTGCCACCTATGTGGGAGACCCAGATGGAGTTTCTGGCTTCTGGCTTTGTCCTGGTCCAGCCATAGCTGTGTGGCCTTTTAGGGAGTGGACCAGCGAATGGAAGATCTCTTTCATCATCTCTCTCCCTCTAACTCTGCCTTTCAAATAAATGAAAAATAAATCTTTCTTTAAAAAGAAAAAGTATGTCTTTTCATTTAATTGTTCTCTTATGTCTCAAAGTTGTAGAGGATTCTTCAGATAGGCCTTCCTATTTCTTAAGCTTATTCATTCAGTATTTAATATTTAGTTATGGCATTGCAAAAATATTCCCAGTATTTTTTCTCAACTGAACAGATATGGAGGAAAGATATCAGCGCTGATACACTTAGATTGTCACAGAGTATACCGAGTTCTAAAAATATCTTCCCACCCAAGTTGTGTAGGTCAAGTGCAAATGAGAGCTGTAAGACGGATCTGGAAAATTTTGCTCCTCTCCCTCTTCCTTCCTCCATCCCATATTTGGGTTATTCTCATTTCATTAAATATAAATGGCTATTCCACGGAAACAAAAGCAGGAGCACTACCCAAGGACATCTGTGTGACCAAAGCTTCTTGAAGGAGCAGAGTGAATTTCCAAGTAAACATGATTAACTCCAGCATAACAGGACCCACCTGTGGGAGCCGCAGCCTGCACGCCTGTCAGCAGCTGTGCAGCCTGCACCCACGGTCCCCTCAGACAGGAAGAACAGGGCCCTGACAAGGTCAACACCATTCTTGCACTCTGGTGCTGGGGGCCACCTGTGTGGATGTCTCATCGGGCGCTATCATCATCTTCGTTTCACAGACAAGAAAACTGGACCCCGAGAGGCTAAACACTTCATCCACTCGTTCACCTCTCATTCATTTGTTATTTCAACATGCAAGCATGAAGCACTTATCATGCACTAAGCCCCCCTAGACAGCTCTGAATCAAACTCCCCCCTCTCATGACAATCACATTTTACAAATGATTTTATTTTAAAAAATTTATTTGATGGGGGTGAGGTGGAGGAGAGACTTTCCAACCACTGGTTCACTCCTCAAATGGCCGCAATGGCCAGGCCAAAGTCGGAAGCCAGGAACTCTATCCTGGTCTCACATGGGTGGCAGGAGCCTAAATACTTGGGCCACCCTCCACTGCCTTCCCAGGCACATTAGCAGAGAACTGGATCAGAAGCAGAGCAGCTGGGACTCAAACTGGCGCTCCACTGTGGGATGCCAACATTGGAAGTCGTGGCTTGATCCTCCATACCACAGCAACCGCCCTGAATGTTACATTTTGATGGGGCAGGCATGCACAAATGAAAACTGTGCCTTGGCCAAGGTCATACAGCTGGAATTATGACTGAGGGCTGGGTCTCAGTCTGGCTGCAGAGCCCATGGGCTTGGCCATGGAGAGAGAGGAATATTCTGCTACAGGGAGAGAGAAGAGAACACGGGTCCTGGGGAAAGTTGTCCATCGTCTCCTGGAAAGCCTTCCAGGGTGGCTTGACCTGGAGGAGTTGGCCACGGGCCAGAGAACAGTCGTTCTGGACCTCCTGACTCTACAGGTTGCACACAGGGAGAGACTGCCTTCTAGAGACTGCTCTCATCTTATGAATTCCACTTTCCTGGCTTCATGGCTTACCTATTTACCCTGCATTATTTCCTTCACACCCTAACTAGCACAAGTGTCAATTCAACATAAGGGAATGGTGACTGACAAAAGCCAACTTCTTCTAGCTCAATGATGAGGCTGACGCTAGGAGTCACACTCATACACAGGAGACCAGTGGACAGAAATAGTTCAGTGGAATTCACAAAATTATTTCAAAAATGTACTTTTAAATGGGATGGCCATTTAGCCTAGTAGTTAATATGCCAGTTGGGGCACTCATATCCCACATCAGAGTACCAGGGTTCAAGTCCCAGCTCTGGCTCATGATGCATGCTTCTTTTCAAAAATTAATTTTTTAAAGAATACAAATTTCATATGTATGACTTTATGAATATAGTTATTCTTCCCACCATACCCACACTCCTACCCCTCCTCCTCTTCCCTCTCCCCTTCCCAGTGCCATTCTCCATTAAGATTCATTTTCAATTAACTTTGTACACAGAAGACCACTCTATACTAAGTAAAGATTTCAACAATTTACACACACACACACACACACACACACTGTTTGGGAACAAGTACCACATTTAACTCTCATAATACAACCCATTGAGGTCAGAGGTCCTGTATGAGGAGTTAGTGCACAGTGACTCCTGTTGTTAATTTAACAGTTAACACTTATGTAGATATGTGCTTCTTGCTCATGCAGACCTGGGCGGCAGCAGGCGATGTCCTCAAGAAGCTGGGTTCCTGCCTCCCACGTGGGAGCCTGGGACTGAGTTCCCAGCTCCTGGTTTCAGCCAGGCTGGCCTCGGTCACTGTGGGCTTTTGGGGAGTGAATCAGCAGATGGGAGTCTCTCTCTCTCTGCCTCTCAGATAACAATTTAAAAAAAGAAAGAGAAAAAAAATAGGGAAATTGGCTAGAGGGCTGTCACCTGAAGCTACATGTGTTGACCTTTACTTAATAAAATTCCAGTCCTTCTTATTCTGAGATTTCAAGACCAAGGTTCTCTTGCCTTACAAACATTCTCACAGTTAAAATCCAGAGTTCATCTGCACTTACTAGTTTCAGATCTGTCTAGATTTTAAATTTTTTAAAAAATACATTTTAACTCCTTTAAAATGTTTGGATTTAAATAGGCTTTTTATCAGTCTGGTGTTTATTTGAGAGCCCTGGAAACTCTATAAAGGATTTAAGGTGCTTTAGCTCAATGCTGTTGGTAGTTTAAATACAGAAAAGTAAATTCTCTGCTATTAATTCAGCTTACTATCTTACTACTACTAAGATCGTTAGTCCCTTGGCAATTAGCTTTACATTGTCAGCTTTAATGAAAAACTAAGGGGTTTTGGGTCTGTGCAAGCTGGAGAGCAAAGAGGAGACTCAGGGGAGAAAGCACCCAGACACCCCGAAGGCTTTCTATTAGCACCGCACGCAAGTGTGGAGTCTCCCTCAATCCTGTGTCATGGACAGGCGCGGGCAGATTTGGAGAGCACGCTCGCTATGGGAAACTTTACACGTCTTTCTCATTTTTTTGCCCCAGTGCATCACGTGAAATCCTTGCAAACACAAGGACCTTTTATTTGTTGACAAAGGGAACAGTACATCTGGACAAGCAGCTCCCTTGTCCTGCTCCGAAATAGGAAAGAGAATCTGAGGCATATGCTGGTGCCGAGTACCCAGAATGCAAACCGCACACTGCACACGGTTTCGCCTTTATTTTCCAAACGCTTTCTAGCAAACGGTAAAAATTACTTATGTAAATTCACTCACGCTTTCTGCAAATGACCTGAGCAAAGGAAATATTCTTAGGTGGCTCAGGGTCTCATGCATTACATTACCAAACAAAGTTGAACAAAGTATTACTTACCTGTCCGGGAGAAGCTGAGATAAAGGCAAGAAACAGGTAGATTGTCCTCTCTTTCGGACTTCCCTGGGTGGGTGGTCGAGCAGTCGTCTGGCAACGTGAATCGAGTGCGCTCTGAGTGCAGGGCTGGGTGCTAGGCACCGAGGATACAAACGGGGCCAAGACAGGGCCCCTGGCTGCGCACAGCCTGTCTTTGTGGAGGAGCAAGGCAGGAGCAACCAGCAGGCCGAGCGACTTGGGCTCTAATCAAGAACACCTGGCAGGCCCACGGGGCTCCCTGATCCCGAGCCCCAGAGCCAGAGACGAAGAGGGGGTAAATCACAGCCAGACCATGCACTGGCCTCAAGTCTTCATTGGTTTCACCCAGCGCAGTGCAGACACTCAGGTACCATTCATCGCCTGTACGCAGGGGTGGCCAATGACCGTAAATGGGGGTGCTTGCAGGTGACTTCTATTTTAGGAGGCCTCCCTGGGGGAGTGCTGGATTCCTGTCCTTTTATAAGTTGGTCTAGGGCTCTGGATGGAGTCGGTGACGTCTGCCTTCAAAGACTGTGGCGGAGTCACCATGCGTCTCCAATTAGTAGCAGTTTACTGAGTGTCATCTAAGTGCTCTCAGCTTCGCTGTCACCCCCTCCCGAGAGGCCCTCACTGACAGCGGCAGATTTATGGTGATGGCAATAAAGCTTCCATTTCAGGGCCCCCCGCCAGAGCCCCTCACCGGCCCAGGCCTTTTCTGAGTCCTGGGCTGGGGTCAGGGGACCCTTGCGATCTAGTCACGTGCGTGTTTGTCTTTGTAAATGTTTCGAGAGTGAAATAGTTGAACAACAATCAGTAAAACTTCAGGCTACTCTCTTTACTCCAGCTTTCCTTCTGTTGTTCTGCTGCTTTGCCGGTGGCCTTGGGGTGGATACGGGCATTTTGGAGACCCAGTGAAGGGGAAGTTGATTTAGGATTCCCTTTGCTTGAGTGGAGATGAACTACTGATGTGGTTTGTAGTTGCTTCCTTGTATGGCTATGGTCTTGCCTGAAGCCCTAGCGCACTGGTGATGTCCTGTCCGGTCCTGCACTGCCCATCGCTTGGTGCCATCACACAAGGGCATCTCAATATGAAAGGTGTCCCTTGACACCCAGCACCAAAAGGCAGGCTGGAGTGGGAGCAAGGTGAGCTGTATGGGGCCAGAAGCTAACCAAGGGGGCTTTTTGAAGCTTATATCTTACATGGGAAAGAAACTTGAAACTGACTTTCCAAACTTGACAACAATCCTAAATCGTCATAGGATTTTATCAAATAACAAGTTGGGAAGCTGAAAGAAACTTATAGAAAGTATCAATAACACATAAAAGATATTTTGGGGGTGTGCCCAAAAAATTTCAGGGAAAAAAGAATGTCAAGTCTCTTACTACAAAGGAATTACTAGGCTATTCATACCAGGAGGTAATCAAAACATAGAGGCAAAAATGGTAGGAAAAGATATGGTAGAAGCACCTCTGAAAGTTAATAAAAATATTATCTTATTCTTTTCTGGATTTTGTGATGTTTGTGCTATTTGTTAGCTTTAGTTATTTGTAAGTTTCGTGGTTTCTCTTTTTCAGTAAAATTTCATGTTTGTGTTAGCTTCAGCCTGGCCCAGCCCTGGCCACTGTGGCTGTTTGGGGGAGTAAAACAGCAGATGGAAGCGCTCTCGCGCTCTCTCTCTCTCTCTCTCTCTCTCCTCCTGTAACTCTGCCTCACAAATAAAGAAATACATTTTAGAAATACAAATCAAAGTATCTCCCAGGTTGTGCACTTCAGGTGCCCCGGAGTCTGACTCCAGCTGGTTTCACTGCCACCCACTCTGCAGCCACGGCAGCTCCCTGCGGCTGGCTTCTCACGCTCGCCCAGCAGCTCTCACTACCTCACCTTGGCCCAGCTGAACGTGGGCCGCAGGTGTTGTTGACACGGCCAGTCCGTGTCCCCCTTGCCAGCTGGTGCGTCCACACCCCTCCCCGTGGGCGTCACCGCTAACTCCTTGCACTTGTGACTTTCTGCAAACCTGCCCCTTGCTGAAGAGCTGCTTTGCCTGGGGCGCTACCTGCCCGCTACCAATGAGTGGCAGGGACAGGGTGCGAAATCTCACAGGACCCTGCCGGTGGGGCTCCTGGGGATAAAGCCACGGCTAGGGTTTACCTGAGCACATCTTTGCCTGGCGGTTCCCCTTCCTTGTGCTGTTCCTTCACCCTCAACAGGCTTTTCCTAGAAAGCAATAAATCAGCTGCACCCTCACTCACCCCTGTCTCAGGTTCTGAGGATTGTTTATCTATCACCCGTTCCCCTCCTCAGTAGAATGGACAATTCAAGAGAGTGGCAACTCTCTGTGTCTTGTTCACTGCCGTATTCCTTTAGCCTGGTGCTTGGCACGTGGTGGTTACAACGACGTGGGCTGAGATAAATAAACTGAATGAATTCAAGGGGACTGCAAGAAGTGTGTAAAAAAATGGACTTAAAAGATATGTTTATTTGGCTGTAACTTTTTGTTGAAATCCACACTTTTTTTCATAACACACCTTTTCCATAGGTTTTAGGAGACCCAGTTGTATATAAGCTCCAGGTACTTCGGGAATATTTCCTCTAGTCCTCGTGACAACCCCTGAGAGGTCGATACTATTTCTTTGCCTACTACAAACATGGAATTGAGACACCGTGCGTTGGGTAAGTGGGTGGCCCAAGGTAACACACCCAGGGAGTGCTCAGGCTGCCGCCCAACCGTGTTGTCCCCTGCTGGCCCTGTCATCTGACCAGCACTTCCCTGTACCGCTCTGACCCATGAGTGGGTGTGGATCCCTCCCTGACCCTGCGCAGGGCAGGCTGCTTGGGTGACGAAAGGACACGTGGGGCGGCGAGTGATTCAGAGTCAGCAGGAGCCGCCCGCCCACGCCGCCTCCCTGTGAGGACGGCCATGCCCAGCCAGCAGAAGCTCTCCAGCCAATTCCACGAGGCTGGGACCCCAGCATGTGTTGGCCAGATCCAGAGTGCAGCAAACATCTTTCCCTCCCCAGGAGGCTCCTTCCAAAGTCTGTGTCCCCTCCTCTCCAACTGAGCCCTTCCCAGGGAAGCTCAACAAAGAATCTGTGAGCGCCTACCCCCAGCTCCGGGCAGGTTTTTTTCGGTTCTCCTTAGATGAGTTTCATGGAATGTGGAGCGTGTTCTCAACTGTGACTGCCTTCTTGCAGGTTGATAAAATGAACCGCGCGTGGTGACTATAGGGTAGCACAGCGTTAAACCTTAGGGGCGGGCATGCGACATAGCGGTCAGAATGCCACTCGGGACGCCTGTATCCCGTTCTGAAGTGCCTGCATTTGCATCCTGGCCTCACTCTCGACTCCAACTTCCTGCTCCTGTGCACCCTGGGAGGGTTTATTGGGGGAAACCTGACAGACTGGAGGGAAGGGGTGAAGAAGGAAAAGAGGGAGGAGAGTGTAAGAGAGACAGAGACAGAGGTCAGGAGATGGAGAGGAAGAGAGAGAGACATGTGCTCAGGAACAGGTCCTTTTAAAACTTTGCTGGGGGGAGGGCAGGCAGGGAAGTAGGAGCAGCGAATCCCATTAGGATGGGGGTGGGGCTGACACCGGTGGTTGGGCCATGTGACCACCTGACTTCCAGCAATGGTAGCAGGAGGCTAGAGCCTAGGATGGTGTCTGGGTGTACATCACACCATAGATAAGACTGCAGCGTTTTACTAACATTCCCCCCTTCTGTTTTTTATAAAGCAGGAGTTGTATGGGATTACCTTAGTCCCAACAGTCCAGGAGGGGTGGAGGGACGATGATCTGTCTTTAGAGCTACTTCCTACTGACATGGGGCAACGAGGTACTCTTCGCTGGCATGAGGCTATGTCTCAAGCCGCTGTCGGGGAGACGTCTCCTAAGACTAGTTGAGTGAGGGGTGCTGGCTCCCCCCAGCCAGCGCGTGGGTGGGCTGGGCAAGCAGCTCTGCTTCCTCCTGCCATGTCTCAGCCTTCGTCAGCAGTGAGTCTCCTGCCCACCCTCCTCCCTCTCGTCCTTGTCTTTGCCTCCCCTTTCCACCCACATGGCTCTTTCTCCCCCTTCCCTCCAGAACTTAAGATTTGGCCACTTGGAGACCTACATTTCACTGTTGTGGTACCGCAACTTAGAGATGGAGAAAGGGTTCCCGAGTCGCATCGGCCTGGGTGCAAACTCAGATTTACACTTTCTGGGCAGCTTACATAGCCTCTCAGCACTCTGTGTTCTTGTCTGCAGAAGTGAGGACACGAGCCTTTCTCAGTGCATTCTCCCATCCAAGTACTAACCAGGCCCGACCCCGCTTAGCTTCCAAGATCAGACGAGATCAGGCGCATTCAGGGTGGTATGGCCGTAGACTCTCAGTGCATTCTTTAAGGAATAAACAAGATGATCCCTATATGGTTCCTGGCACACAGATGACTCTTAGGATTTTTTTTTTTTTTGACAGGCAGAGTGGACAGTGAGAGAGAGAGAGAGAGACAGAGAGAAAGGTCTTCCTTTGCCGTTGGTCACCCTCTAATGCCCACTGCGGCCGGCGTGCTGCGACCGGCGCACTGCGCTGATCCAAAGGCAGGAGCCAGGTACTTCTCCTGGTCTCCCATGGGGTGCAGGGTCCAAGGACTTGGGCCATCCTCCACTGCACTCCCTGGCCACAGCAGAGAGCTGGCCTGGAAGAGGGGCAACCAGGACAGAATCCGGCGCCCCGACCGGGACTAGAACCCCGTGTGCCGGCGCTGCAAGGCGGAGGATTAGCCTAGTGAGCTGCGGCGCCGGCCCAGGATGTTTTTTAAAATCTCTTCCTTTTCCCTTATTATTATTATTTTTGCAGTACTATGCAGACAGTGTTCACTAAGTAGATGCTTACTGCATGAAAATTTGGAGTCAAATTTAACAGACTATCAAATACTTGGAATGATTACGACTGGGAGAAATTGCATGATAAATTATTATAACCCTCTGCAGGCCAGGCACCGGCATCAGGAAGGTCCTTGCACACAGCACATGACTGTCTTCGGATGCAGAAGGCAGGCATTATTTCTATGCTCCAAGACATCATCTTTATTACTCAAGGGCCACACTGCATTTTATAGACTAAGCAGCTGAGGTGTGGAGTGGCTGAGTAATTTATGTGAGGTTACAGAACAGAATCTCGACTTCAGAACCCAAACCCTAGCCTGCCGGATCAGTCTGCAGAGCCATGTGTTGTTTGGAATTCACTGCGAATAATGGAGGGAGAGCTCAACGATTGGAGGATCTTCTCTCTCCTGAGCATCAGCTGGAAGCTTCCCTCCTCAAGATCCTCAAGTCCTGTAGTTAGGTGCAATGGAAACATTTGAAACGGAGCCCTGTATTTACCGTAGAAAAAGACA